TACTTTTAACACAGTTTGATATTCCCTCAAAAAGTTGAATAGGCTGGGCATGCCAGCTAACACCCAGCACATTTCACAGGCTGGGACAGGTGGATCATGAGGTCAGGAGTTTGAGACCAACCCTGCCAACATAGTGAAACCCCATCTCTATTAAAAAGACAAAAATTACCTGGGTGTGGTGGCAGGTGCCTGTAGTCCCAGCTACTCAGGAGACTGAGGCATGAAAATCACTTGAACCCGGGAGGTGGAGGCTATGATGAGCAGAGATTGTGCACTGCACTCCAGCCTGAGCCAAACAGGGAGACTCCATCTCCAAAAAAAAAGAAAAGAAAAATTGAGGGTCATCTCACAGATGATCTAATGAATAATGGATTATTTCCTTGACTTTAGAAAAATCACATTATTAACTTTTCTACTTTTAGATAACATAACTGCTATGGGACTGCAGGCAGGTGTAGCAGACTGGATGGGAGATGGCAGCAGGCAGGAGCACTCAGGGTCTGGAGGCCGTGGTTCTAAGGCCATTGGGAAACCACTGGCAAAGTTAAACCCACAGCCTGACAGGAGGAAATCTGTGACTGTCAATAAATATGCTGCCATTACCAAGTGAGATCGCCAGTGGTTGTGGGATGGACGGAAGCTCCTCCAGGTGGGCTGCACTGAGGAGAGCACGGCACCAGGCTAGGGTGGTCCTACCAGGAATGCAGGGTCTGCACCTGTACAGGAGGAAAGGCTGGGTAGACCCAGCGTGGAGTCATCTCTGCTCTTTACATCTGTCAGGGCTGTGACAACTGAGTCAGCTGGGCATAGTGGCTGATGCCTGCAATCCCAGCACTCTGGGAGGCCGAGGTGGGTGGATCACCTGAGGTCACGAGTTTGAGACCAGCCTGGCCAACATGGTGGAATCCAGTCTCTACTAAAAATACAAAAAATTAGCTGGGTGTGATGGTGGATGCCTGTAATTCCAGCTACTTGGGAGGCTGAGGTAGGAGACTCTCTTGCACCTGGGAGGTGGAGACTGCAGTGAGCAGATATCATGCCACTGCACTCCAGCCTACGCCAAAAGAGCAAAACTCCACCTCAAACAAAAAAAAAAAAGAAAGAAAGAAAATTGCAAGTGTCAGGAACAATTCCCAAAAAGGAAAATTGGGCCCACATGGAAAGAGACATTTTTCTGCCAACAGGAGCGTGCAGTGAAGTGAAGGTCTGTGGACTGGACTTTCACAAAGAAATCTTATATTTTCGGCTGGGCACAGTGGCTCACACACGTCATCCCAACACTTTGGGAGGCTGAGGCGGGAGGATCATGAGGTCAAGAAAGCAGGACCATCCTGGCCAACATGGTGAAACCCCTTCTCTACCAAAATCACAAAAAATTAGCGGCGTGTGGTAGCGCATGCCTGTGATCCCAGCTACTGGGGAGGCTGAGGCAGGAGAATCCCTTGAACCTGGGAGGTGGCGGTTGCAGTGAGCCGAGAACATGCCACTGCACTCCAGGCTGGCAACAGAGCAACACTCCATCTCAAAAAAAAAGAAAGAAGAGAAAGAAACCTTGTATTTCCTGATTTGGGGTTACATGGGGGTCACCTGGAGGAGTGTTTCTGCTTTTGGTGAAATGCTTGGGGGTATTTTGTGTGAACCTGCAAATCTGGCACAGCAGTAACTGCTGGGGAATCGGAGAGACAGGAGAAGTCACACTAACTGCAATCCCAAGTTTCCCGGAAGTATGACGTTACTGGGAAGTCAACTACTTTTTACAACAACCCTGTCAATATGACGTCAGAAAGGCAGAAACAACATCACCACACTTCATAACAGAGGCCAAATCCAACCCAAACCCAACCCCGCACAGGCTGGGAACCCAGCACCTCGGCGAGAGCCAGAGGGTCCCACACTTGGTGCTGTGGACGCTCCAAAGGCCATGTTTGCGTCGCGAGTGATATGTGTGTTCTAAGGGACACATGCGTGTTCCCAGGGTTATATGCATGCGATGGTTGTTGCGTCAGTCTTACGGTGTCATGGGAGTTCTGGGTGATATGTGTGCCCTGACGGGCACATGCGTGTTCTGGGGGTGATATGATTGTGACGGGTGTTGGGTTAGACTGACGGTGTATGGTCATTCCGAGCATTACACGTGTGTTCTGAGGGACACACGCATGTTCTGGGGGTGATATGATTGTGACGGGTGTTGGGTTAGACTGACGGTGTCATGGTCGTTTCGAGCATTACATGTGTGTTCTGAGGGACACATGCATGTTCTTGGGTTATATGAGTGTGACAGGTGTTGGGTTATTGGGTTAGTCTGACAGCATCACCTGTGCATTCTGGGTGATAAGAGCACTCTCAGTCTAATGGTGTAACAGTCATTCCAGGTGACGTGTGTGTTCTGAGGGGCACATGCATGTTCCAGGGGTTAAATGAGTGTGGTGGGTACTGGGTTAATCTGACAGTATCACTTGTGCATTCCGAGTGATGTGTGCACTCTGACACTGTCACTGGCGTTCTGGGCATACGTATGCGCTCTGAGGGACATATGCGTGTTCCGGGGGTTATATGGGTGTGACAGGTGTTGGGATAGTCAGTCTCATTTCTGTGTTCCAGGTGTGTGCACTCTGAGTCTGATGTTGTCACAGGCTTCTGGGTGATATGTGCGTGCTCTAAGAGACACATGCATGTTCTGGGGTTATATGAGTGTGACAGGTGCCGCGTTAGTCTGCGTCATGGGTGTTATGGGTGATATGTGTGCATTCACGGGCATTCTGTGCACTCTGAGAGACACATCCACATTCCCGGGATCAGACCTGCGCATCAGCTGCCGTGTTCCCCTAATGCGTGTGACGTCTGTATGAGTGCTTACAGTGCACCACAGACAGAGTGTTACTGGTATTATAAGGGGTTATTCTCAGGGTGGTGGGTGTTCTATTTGCTCTCCTGACGCCGCATTTCTGTTCCAAGCCTGCGGCGCAGCCCCATGGCCACATCGCCTTGGGTGCAGAGAAAGAACCCTGGCTGCACTGGATTCACCGTTGTTTTTCATTTCTAATTTTCCATGTGAAGAGTCTCTGCCCCTCAGCAGTCAGGGTGGCAAACAGGAAAGAGTTTACTCACCATGGATGCGGGCTGGAGGTGTCCCAAAGTGAGGGGCGTCCCCTGGTCTGTGATGAGGAGAACCTGGCTCCTGCCCTCGCAGGGGCCTGTGCAGAAGAAATGGGTGGGACGCTGTGGCCTCGGGATTAGAAAAGCTGGGCTCACGCACCTTTGCTGGCAGCCGGGGGCACTGCAGGGCCCTCGCGCTCATGGCGCTGATGGTTGGACACGTGCTCTTGAAGTCAGAGGGCGAAGTATGCAGCGCCACCGTTCTGGAAATGCAAACTGACATGGAGCCTGCTAGCCCATGTGTTTCTGAAAGTGAAGAAGGGACAGTTAAATGGAAACCACAGGAAATGTAATGAACACGGATGCTCATTATACGAGTAATGCAGAAATTCACTCCACATCGCCTTCAGACAACTTTAAACTTACCCTAACCCACCTCACCCTAACCCTTCGCCGCAATCCTGACCTCTCAACCTAACCCTGTTACTCACCTCATCTCTCCACTAATCTCCACTATAAACACCAAATGGAACCTCCTGTCTTGCAGCCCTTATATTATCATCTTCAACTGGTAAACTCATAACCTTTAAAGCCCTATCTCCTGATTCTGTAATACCCTGACACACTAACTCTGGAAATACCGCAGTCTATTCACAATCCCATCCTGACCTCTCCTACTCAGTGCCACGCCACTTCAAGGACTGATCTATAACCTCAGAAATGTAGACTTAAGAATCTTCAACATAATAGAAAATGTAAACCAACAGCATTTTGAAAGCATCAGACACCATGAACATGATTTTTTAGCCTATTAAATCAATGGTGGCCTGCCTAATTCTGTATTGTCTGTAGGGACAGGTTTTTGCCATGTTGGCCAGACGTAAAACAATACCTCCACACTCAACTGATTTGAGACAAGGTCCATAACCGTTAAACTGGGGGGAAATGCTGTCCTCAGTAAGTGATGTAAGGCGACTTGCAATCCACATAAAGGGATGTGAAATTGTATCCTTACCTCGTATCACACAAAAAGTTTAAGTTAAAATGGATCAAAGACCTAAATATGGCAAAACTAAAATCTCTAGAGAAAACATACAGGTAAACCTTCATGACCTTGGATGTAGCAATAGTTTCTTAGATCTGACACGAAAACCACAAACCACAAAAGGAAAAATAAATCAACTGATTTCCTCAAAATTCGAAACTTTTATACCTCAGAAGACATGAAGAGAAAAGCTGAAAGACAGAATTGTTGTAACAGGAAAAACGACTGTCTTCTGTCAACACTCGACACTTCTATTAACAGCTGCGTGGGTTTTTCTCCAGACAGACCAAATCGTGGCTACCAGCTGGGTGTCCCACAGTGCAAGCCAATTCTGACACTACCTGGAGAAAGCATCAGACCCCACCAGCTAAGGGCAGCTTGTTCCTAGGAAGGTAAGTTCGTGCTGCTTGTTGCTTGCAAATTCAATTGCCAAAGACAAGGATGGTAAAAAGAAAGTGACTTTATGCCAGAGCTTAGCTGAAGGGAACATACAGGCTCTGCCTTAAGGAAACCGCTTCAGGCTGGGCGCGGTGGCTCACACCTGTAATCCCAGCACTTCAGGAGGCCGAGGCGGGTGGATCACGAAGTCAAGAGATCAAGACCATCCTGGACAACAAGATGAAACCCCGTCTCTACTAAAAATACAAAAATTAGCTGGGCATGGCAGTGCGCGCCTGTAGTCCCAGCTACTCGGGAGGCTGAGGCAGGAGAATTGCTTGAACCCAGGAGGCGGAGGTTGCGGTGAGCCGAGATCCCGCCATTGCACTCCAGTCTGGGTGACAACAGCAAAACTCTGTCTCAAAAAAAAAAAAAAAAAAAAAAGGAAACCGCTTCCACTTTCAGGGCAGAAAGTGGGAGCTTTAAAAAATGGACTTGGCAGAATGGCATGCAGGGGTGAGGAGGTGCAGGGTCTGCGGGACTTGCTCTGATGTTTCATCCATTAGGTGGTCTTGCACCATGGGCAGAGCTAGGTTGTAAACTGACTGCTGTCTCCTGGCAATCTCCTGGTAGTGGAGAGTTCCAGAGACACCTAGTTTGTAGAGTTTGGTCCCTGGAACTTCTAAGTCAACACACAGAAAAGCTTGCAGTGTAGCAAGTATCTTGTGGAGAGACAGTAAAGCTTATAATTGCATTCCTAAAGAGCTAAGTAGGAAGCATAGGACAAGAAAAACAGTAAAAGTAATTCATTCCTTCTTTAAGAAAATACGGGTACTTAGTTATAAGATGACAATTACAAATAGTAGGTTCCCAGTTGCCTTATGTCTGACCTGGCCACAGATTGGAGGCTCCCACAACACCCTTATTGGGTTCAGCAATTTACTACAGCACATTACAGAACCCATGACAACAGTGTACTTACTAATGCTCACTTACTGTCAAGGATATTTTAAAGGCTACAAATGAACAGTCAGATAAAGAGAGGCACAATGTGAAGTATGTGGAAGGGGTGCAGGCCTCCCATGCCCTCTCCAGATATGATCCTCCCAGCATCTCCCCAAGTCCAGCAACACAGAAGCTCGCACTCTCCCAGCCCGGTCCTTTATTACGTAGGCAGATTGCTTACATGAGTGGCCACAGGTGATCAACTCAACCATCAGCACCTCTCCTCTTCACAGAGATGGGAGGGGAGATGAAATTTCAAATCCTCCAATGACAAGGTTGGTGCCCTTGGCAGCCAGCCCCACAGAGGCTGTCCAGGTGCCCCCAGCCATCAGTCATCTCATGAGCACACGAAAGACACATCACTTCATACATCCCAAAGTCTTAGAGCTCTGTCTCAGGACCCCACAGCAGAGATCACACATGAACTCTTGTTATTTTCCAGTAACCCACAAAATGGAAGAAAAAATCTGCACATTAGATACTTTGTAAGTGTCTGTTATCCAGAATCTATAAATAATTTTTATAACTCAACAACGAAGACAACCCTACCTAAAAATTGACAAAGGACTTTCACACACACTGCACCAAGAAGCAAGATGCTTAACATCATTAGTAATAATTACAACCATAAAGAGATATCCCTTAACTCACACTAGAATAGTTACACTAAAAGAAAACAAGTGTTGACAAAGATGTGCAGAAACTTGAACTATGAAACACTGCTTGTGACAATATGAAACGGTGCAGCCTATGTGTAAAATAATTTGGTGTTTCTTCAAACAGTTACAAATAGATTTACTGTATGACTCAGTGATTCCATTCCTAGGTATATACCCCAAAGACCTGAAAACAAAGGTGTTCAAACAAAAACCTGTATGCTCTTTAAATGTGTCAAGATCATAAATATGCAGGAAAGTCCTGGAAACAGTGCCAGGAAAACTGGATCAGAATAAAAAACACATTATACTCCCAGATGGGGCAGGAGGTAAAAGTGAAATGAGTTTGTGAACTGAATTATCATGTAGCGTGCTGATTTCCTGATCGAGGGGTCATGTGGTGGTAACCTGGGAGAGTGTCCGTGCTTTGGGTAAAACATACCAGAGTATTTAGTGGGACACTGCAAATCTGGTACAGCAATGACTGCTGGGGAACCTAACAAAAGAAACAGGCTATATTTTGCACTGCTACTGGAAGTTTGCTAGAAGTATGACATTATTAAAAAGTAAATTACTTTTTAAAACCATATCAATGCTATGCCAGAAAAGCAAAGACATCAGCAAAATCCACTACAGAGGCTATGCCTCATCCAAACCTGTGAACCCTTATAAAAGCCTCAATGTCAACAGACTCCACTTAGTAAATATTATTTATTAGTATTAGAGGCTACTGTGTGGATACAATAGTGTTATAGCACAGTGCGGATATTACCGTTAGGGCATGGTATATATATGATACTGGTGCTGGGGAACATTAGGGCACGGTGTGGCTAGTATTACGTTAGTATCAGAAGCAACGGTGTGGACATCAGCCTAGCATTAGGGTATGGTGTGGATATTACACTGGTGTTAGGGCACGGAATGGGTATCACAGTAATGTTAGGGCACGGTGTGGCTAGTATTACGTTAGTATCAGAAGCAATGGTGTGGACATCAGCCTAGCATTAGGGTATGGTGTGGATATTACACTGGTGTTAGGGCACGGAATGGGTATCACAGTAATGTTAGGGCACGGTGTGGCTAGTATTACGTTAGTATCAGAAGCAACGGTGTGGACATCAGCCTAGCATTAGGGTAGGGTGTGGATATTATATTGGTGTTAGGGCATGGTGTGGACATCATAGTAATGTTAGGGCATGGTGTACATATGATACTGGTGTTGGGGAACATTAGGGCACGGTGTGGCTAGTATTACGTTAGTATCAGAAGCAATGGTGTGAACATCAGCCTAGCATTAGGGTAGGGTGTGGATATTATATTGGTGTTAGGGCATGGTGTGGACATCATAGTAATGTTAGGGCATAGGGCATGGTGTACATGATACTGGTGTTGGGGAACATTAGGGCACGGTGTGGCTAGTATTACGTTAGTATCAGAAGCAATGGTGTGAACATCAGCCTAGCATTAGGGTAGGGTGTGGATATTATATTGGTGTTAGGGCACGGTGTGGACATCATAGTAATGTTAGGGCATGGTGTACATATGATACTGGTGTTGGGGAACATTAGGGCATGGTGTGGCTAGTATTACGTTAGTATCAGAGGCAACGGTGTGGATATCAGATTAGCGTTACAGTATGGTGTGGATATTACATTGGTGTTAGGGCACGGAACGGGTATCACAGTAATGTTAGGGCACGGTGTGATTATTATATTGGAGGCCACTGTGAGAACACATCTCAGCAGCCACTGTGTCTGGGACGTTGACAATGACATCAGGGTGTAGTGGTAAGGATGGGATTTGGGGATTTCACTTTTCTAGATGAATTTCTTCCTTTGCTGAGTACTCTAAAGACTCTCTGCTCTGCACTCAGGGCCATGGAAAGGAAGCTTTTTACTCACCAATGAACAAGACTTAGTTGACATGACCCTGGTGCTGCCCTGAGGAAGTCGAAGCTCCTTGCTGCTTCTGGCACCTCAGAGGGAAGTTGGTCAGGGGTGGGTTCGTGCGCCCTCTGGTGGCACCAGAGCTCACAGACGCTCTTGCTCACAGTTTCTCAGTGGATGTGCAACCCGTCCTGGCTGTCCCGAAATACTACAAAATTCAATATTCAGTTTATTCAATGTAATAATTTTGGAAATTCTAACAGACATGAAGCCCACTGTAGCCATATCCTTTCCAAAAATGGTGCTGTAAGACTTTGGAAGCCATGTAGAATGAAACGAATATATACACAAATTTAAAAAACACAAAAACCTACTCAAAGTAGTCCATAGACTATAATTTGAAATGCAAAACTATAAAAATACTAAAAGAAATCTATGTGACGTTGGGTTTGGTGTTGAGTTTTAATACACAACATCAAACGCCAATTCATGAAAATACTGACAACACAGACTTTATAAAACTAAATATTCCACTGAGAAAAACTGTATTCAGAGAACAAAAAGACAAGACAGACGTGAGAAGATATTTACAAAACACATACGTGATTTTTAAAACAGGGTAAATATCTGTACAGATACCCAGCCAAAGCAAATATACAGCTAGCAGGCTGGGCATGGTGGCTCCTGCCTGTCATCTCAGAACTTTGGTAGGCTGAGACGGTTAAATCATGAGGTCAGGAATTTCAGATCAGCCTGGCAAACATGACGAAACCCCATCTCTACTAAATATACAAAAAACTATCCAAGCGTGGTGGTGGGCACCTGTAATCCCAGCTACTTGGGAGGCTGATGCAGGAGAATCGCTTAAACATGGGAGGCGGAGGTTGCACTGAGCCAAGATCGTGCCACTGCACTCCAACCAGGGTGACAGAGCAAGACTCCACCTCAAAAAAAAAAGATGTTAATAACATAACTGATACGTGTTGATATGTTAATAGGAGAGGAAACTAGGTTGGGCCTATATTGGAAATCTGCGGGGTTTTCTTTCCAATTTCAGTGTTAATCTAAAACTAATTTAAAATAAAACCTTTATTGAAAAATTGTAATTTTTTTCAAATATCTGCTTATTTGTGCTATTAATAAGTAGTAATTGGCACTTCTACTTTTTACAGTAAAAGCATTCATAATGCTACAAAGCAAATTATGCAAATATATAATTTCAAAGAAACGTCTTTTTCATGTTTTATGTTAAAATAACACATATACGTAAACATATTTATCATACCTTTTTTCTTGTGGTGTACTTCCCTCCCTAGGAAAGTTGGTCAGCTCAGAACCAGGGAAAAAATATTCATGTTTTGGAAACTACTTCAATTTACAGCTGGACGTCTTCAAAAGTGTAACTTAAACAGTTAAAATAGCAAATTGATTGTGACTGGATCACGTATCTGCTTGTCTTTGTTTCCCAGCATTCTTTTTGGCTACAATACAACAAAAGCAAATATTTGCCACTGGAAAAAAATATTCAAAGACAGGAAGAATGGAAACAGAATTCATGACCATCGTTACTCAATGTTTCAGCAGGATGCTTTCTAATACAGAGACTTTAAAGGGATAGTCAAAGGTATTCCCACAAAGATGCTTTGCAGAAATTGACTAAACTAGAGAAACAAAAGGAACAGGACAATCAATGTGACTTTAGATGTCGCTGTGTCTTGTGGATGAAAATAACTTAGAGTATTACAGAGAATTCCTGGAAGCCCAGCCTCTGGTATGTTTCTAAGTTTAGATGTCAACATAGCTAGCAATGAATATGATAAAAAGGAATGTGTGCCTTATTTGTGTAATCAAACACCAAAGCAGTATTTAATGCTCCAATGAAAACAAGTTATGCCTGAGATACAGTCGACAATGTCAGAATCAAAATAAGCTTCCTGGCCAGGCAATGATGGCTCACACCTGTAATTCCAGCACTTTGGGATGCCAAGTAAGGGGGATCACCTGAGGTCAGGAGTTTGAGACCAGCCTGACAAACATGGAGAAACCCTGTCTCTAGTAAAAATACAAAAATTACCCAGGTGTGGTGGTGCATGCCTATAATCCCAGCTACTCTGGAGGCTGAGGCAAGACAATCGCTTGAACCTGAGGAGGTTGTGGTGGGCCGAGATCACGCCATTCCTCTGCCCTATTGTTTACGTAAAAATGCAGATTCACTGAACCTGAGTAAATTGTGTATTCAGTGGAAGGCTGATCAAGGATTCAAAAGAATGCAACCTTTTGTTTTATCTACTTCTGACCTAGAAGCACCCCTACTTCCTACTTCTAGTTGTTCCACCTGACTGAACCAAACGACTGTACATCTTACACATACTGACTATGTCTCATGTCTCTCTAAAATGTATAAAAGCAAGCTCTGCCCTGACCACCTTGGGCCCATGCTGTCAGGACCTCCTGAGGCCGTGTCATGGGCATGTCCTTAACCTTGGCAAAATAAGCTTTCTACACTGAGACCTGACTCAGCTATTTTGGGATCACAATCAACAATCACCACAGTGTGACAGTTGACTACAGCCCCAGTACAGACACATCCTATACAGGTTTGCAGCCTGGGAGCAATAGGCTATACCTATAACTTACGTGTGGAGTGGGCTCCACCAACCGGGTTTTATAAGGACACTCTATGGTGTTCGCACAAAGATGAAATCACTAAGGACAAGTTACTCAGAAAGTATCCACATGTTTAGGAGATGCTTGAGTGTATTTTAAATGGCTAAAGCCTAGGAGAAAAAAAGAAACTCAATTCCTGCTGTGGTTTGATAACGAAGGTTAACAGGGTTCATATATTTCATCTAATCTAAGATACTAATGATTAACAGGCATTATTTCATGCACCATCACAAATAGGTTGCCAATTAAACCGGTTTTCTGAATAACAACAAAAATGTGAATTTATTTCTGTTAATGTCAGGGAAGTAAAATGAAGACGAACTACTATTTTGACATGTTAAAGCAAAAAAGGAGGAGTTAGTCCGAGGTCTTGCGTAAGCAAATGGAAACCGAACTTGGAGGCATTTATACTGACCTAAAAAATTAGCCAAGCAACCAGTCAGTGACAAAACGCCCCGCCACCACTGGGCTGTATAACTAGGGACGCTGAGGGAACCATCCTCACAACAGGCGGTCGCCCAGCTGGAGCCAGTGAGAAACCTCACTTTGCTGCCGCCACTGAGAGCTGGAAGCCGCATTGTGGTGCTTCAGGTGTGATTCATGAATCATTCCTTTGCTCAAATACACTGTTTAAATTTATTTCGCGTAAAATTCTTCTGGTAACCCCTAACTCTAACGCTAACCCCTGGCCCTAATCCTCACCCTAAACCCTGATCACACATTACTTTCCACGTCTGCGCTGATATGTCAGTGTTGATTCCTGAGTGCCGTGTTGGCAGGGCCGCGTGGGTACCGCGGGTTTTACGGTAACATTTTTGTACTGAGGCTTTGCCTTTGCATTGCAGGTGTTTTCTACATAAACGCCACACTGCGGGCGCTGTGTTCGTGCTTCGGAAGTCTTACCTGCCTTAGGGACGCTCTATTTGCGTTCTGAGGCTCCAGTGTGGACGTCGCACTGCGGCCACTGGCCTGGGGTGGGGAGAACCTCGGCGGGCAGGATTCAGGGGGGCTTCTGGTGTCGTTTTCCACACCGAGACCTTCTTCCTAGTCTCCGGCCCCAGCAGTCAGGGCTGCAAACAGGTAGGATTTCACTCACTCACCGTGGACGCGGCCCGGTGCCCACAGGGTCTGTGCTGAGAGCGCTGTCTGCCTTCCCAGTGCCCGCGGGTCTGTGCTGAAGGGAACGCAGCTCCGCCCTCGCGGTGCCCACAAGGTCTGCTCTTACTAGAACCCGACTCGGCAGACCGCCAGACACGTGCGCCGTGACGCCATGCGCCGTGACGCCACGCGCGCCGTTACGCGTCGTGACGTCATGCGTAGCGTCAGGGATCTGAAAACGCAGCATCGGGCGCCCCCTGCTGGCGGCTAGGGCCACTGCAGGGCCCTCTTAGTGCGGTCACCACATCTCCCGCTAGCAGCCGGGGCACCCTCTCCAGCAGTCCTGCTGAATCACTGAAATTCAGTGTTGGGATTGTTCCAGGCCATAGTTTTGGAAATTTCAACTGAAATCAAGCCCACCATCCCGTGCCTCGATCACAACCAACGGGGATAAGAAGAAGCAAAGAAGATGCACAATTGACAAAACTCAACTGATTTCTTTTTTTTTTTTTTTTGCATCAACAATAACGTGTAGGAATAATTAGAACTTAAAATATTAAAATACCATTTACAACAGCACTCCCCAAATCGAACCATTAAGTATAAATCTCACAAAGCATATAAAAAAGCCTTTAGAAAACCATGAATCACAGTTGAGATAAATAAAAACAAACATATATAAGGCCGGCCATGGTGGCTCACGCCTGTAATCCCAGAACTTTGGAAGGCCGAGGCAGGTGGATCATCTGAGGTCAGGAATTCAAGACCAGCCTGACCAACATGGAGAAACCCAGTCGTTACTAAAAAGTACAGAAATTACCCGGGTGTGGTGGCATGTGCCTGTAATCCCAGCTACTCAGGAGGCTGAGGCAGGAGAATTGCTTGAACCCAGGAGGTGGAGGTTGCAGTGAGCAGAGATAGAGCCACTGCACTCCAGTCTAGGCAGCAAGAGCTGAACTCCATCTCAAAAAATATTTACAATATATATGTATATGTAAATGCAGAGATATTACTTGTTTTCCAGAAATACAGTCGTTATTCTGAAGGTGACAGTTCTTTCAAACTTGATCTATAGATTAAGCCAAATCACAATCAAACAACTACCTAAACCCAGAATGGATGACATAAGGCTGAAGAGCGAAGTTTAAAACGTTATACAACCAGATCTAAACACTTACGTAAAGCCACAGTAATAAAGAAAATGTGATATCGGTGAACGACTAGATACAGAATAGCGAACCCCATCATATACTTAAGCCAACTGATTTTTTTCAAATGGGGCAAAGGAAGGCCAAGGTGGGTGGTTCGAGACCAGCCTGGCCAATATGGCAAAACCTCCTCTCTACTAAAAATACAAAAATTAGTGGGGCGTGGTGGCACGTGCCTGTAATCCCAGCTACCCAGCAGGCTGAGGCAGGAGAACCACTTGAACTGGAGGGGAGAGGTTGCAGTGTGCTGAGATCACACCACTGTACTCCAGCCTGAGCAACAGAGTAGGACTCTGTCTCAATAAAAATAAAATAAAAATGAAAATGAAACAGAATCAAACAACAACAACAACTGCAAGGCCGGTTTCCTCTCCGGGAGTCAGACGGACACATCCCTCCCTCTCCGCGCCTGAGAACTACGTCATCACCCAAGCTCGTTATCTGGCCTGACCACGTGGCTTCCCCACAGCCGCCTCTGCATATCATACCCAAGGCCACACTCAGCTCTAAACTATGCATCCCACCCCCAGCCCGCTGTTGAAAAACCTGCAAAAGAATTTTTTAAAAGAAGCCCCCACCAAACCCTGCCTGGTAGTGGTCTGCCCCATACGCCCCCAGAAGGCCCACTTACCCAAGGTCCTGCCTACCCACCAATGACAGCTAGCTCCAGACATTTCCTGCCTCTCAACAGCCAATGAAATTGCCGTCACTTTGTTTCCTGTATAGCCAATCAAGGCCCACTTACCCAAGGTCCCGCCCACCTACCAATGACAGCTACCTCCAGAAACTTTCTGCCTCTCAACAGCCAATGAAATTGCCTTCCCTTTGTTTCCCCAATAGCCAATCAATTGCCTTCCCTCCCCATAAAACCCCACGCCCTAAACAGCCGGGTGTGACTTCTTTGGCCCCTTCCTGGACCTCCAAACCTCGCCTGGGAGTTGAATAGATTAGCTTCTCAGTTTCTTTTTTTTTTTTTTTTTTTTTTTTTTTTTTTTTTTTGAGATGGAGTTTCGCTCTTGTTACCCAGGCTGGAGTGCAATGGCGCGATCTCTGCTCACCACAACCTCCGCCTCCTGGGTTCAGGAAATTCTCCTGCCTCAGCCTCCTAGCTTCTCATTTTCTTATACTTGCCTCAGTTTCCTCATTTTACCTCAGCAATAAACCTTACAACAACAACAAACCCTTGCTTTCTCCACTACAACTCTCCGCTATGGAGAGTCCCCAACCAAAAATTCAGACATCACAAAGAATCTCTCAGTGTCTCTCAACAGAACCCCTGAAGGAATTCTAGATACTTCTATTTTTTTTTTTTTTTTTTTGAGACGGAGTTTCGCTCTTGTTACCCAGGCTGGAGTGCAATGGCGCGATCTCGGCTCACTGCAACCTCCGCCTCCTGGGTTCAGGCAATTCTCCTGCCTCAGCCTCGGGAGTAGCTGGGATTACAGGCACGTGCCACCACGACCAGCTAATTTTTTGTGTTTTTAGTAGAGACGGGGTTTCACCATGTTGACCAGGATGGTCTCGATCTCTTGACCTCGTGATCCACCCGCCTTGGCCTCCCAAAGTGCTGGGATTACAGGCGTGAGCCACCGCGCCTGGCCTGATACTTCTGTTTTTTGAGTGATAAAGCTCTGTAACTCGCTGTGTTAAACCAGCAGACCATCCACACCTGCTCTTCCTGTGGTGCAGTCAGAGGGAGCAAGGGCAATTCAATGGAGAAAGAAAAGTGTTTTCCACAAATGGTAACAGAACAACTAGAAACCATATCAGAAAACTGTGAACAAAGACACGAACTTCCTGAAAAAAGTCAGTCAAAATAGAGAACAGACTTAAATCTTCAAATGCCATGTTTTAATACAGAAAAATCTACATGGTGTTGGGTTTTGGAATGAGTTATTAGATATAATATCAAAAGCTAAGGTCTCCCTCTGTTGCCCAAGCTGGAGTGTAGTGGTGAGATCACAGCTCAATGCAACCTCAAACTCCGGGGCTCAAGTGGTCCTCCCAGCTCAGTCTCTCAAAATGCTGGGATTACAAGCATGCCAGACAACACTTGGTTTTCTATGGTGCAATACATGCATGCTTTTTTTGGTAGCAACCATAGAATAAACAAAAACATCAAAAATAATAATACTAACACTTGTCATGAGGAAAAAGCAACTTAAAACAACAACGAGGATAGCACTGAATATCTACTAAAATGGCTAATTTTTTTTTTGAAACAGAGTCTTGCTCCATTCTCCAGGCTGGGGTGCAGTGGTGCAATCTCAGTTCACTCCAGCCTCATCCTTCTGGGCTCAAGCAATCCTCCCACTTCAGCCTCGCAAGTAGCTGGGACTACAGGCATGTGCCACCACAGCTTGTTACGTCTTTGTATCTTTAGTAGAGATGGGGTTTCGCCATGTGACTCAGGCTGGCCCTAAACTCCTGGGCTAAACTGATCCACCTGCCTTGGCCTCTCAAAGTGCTGGGATTATAGGCCTGAGCCCATGCCCAGCAAAACGGCTAGAATCTTCCTGTAAATGCAGTAGAAATTGCAACGGGAACTCGAATTTATTGCAGGTGGATTGCATAACAGTGCAGCAAGTATACACCCACATGTGATTACTTCTGATCACTTTTTTTTTTTTTTTGAGACAGAGTCTCACTCTGTTGCCCAGGCTGGAGTGCAGTGGCGAAATCTTGGCTCACTGCAACTTCTGCCTTCCGGCTTCAAGTGATTCTCCTGCCTCAGCCTCCCGAGTAGCTGGGAGTACAGGCTCCCACCACCATGGCCAGCTAATTTTTGAATTTTTAGTAGAGACAGGGTTTTACCATGTTGGACAGGCTGGTCTCAAACTCCTGACCTCAGGTGATCTACCCGCCTTGGCCTCCCAAAGTGCTGGGGTCACAGGCGTAAGCCAGCCACCTGTTGCTGTACATGCTCAGCAACCTTCGATTTCTGATCTCATGAATGTTTCTCAAATGTTTCTGATTTCTGATCTCATAAATGTTTCTCCACTACAACTCTTCACCTTGGGGAGGTGCTAATCAAACTATTCCAACATCACAATAAGCAAAGGATCTCTCAATGATTCTCAAAAGAACCCCTGAGGGAGTTCTGGAGACTTCTATTTTTAATTAGTGATAAAGCTCTGTAACTCACCGTGTTAAACACCCGTACTAACCACACCTGCTTTTGCTGGGGTGCTGGCCCAGCTCGCAAGGGATGCCTAAGCCCAGGCTGCCCTCTGAAAACTCAAGGAGCACCCTGGCTTCCCAGAACGCAACACAGGAGACCTGTCCATTCGGACACTGCACCTGGAAGAAACACAGTGTTACAAATAGAGGCTCCCTCTGCCAGGCTCAAGGCCTGCTTTCTCATCTGGGTACCTCCTGATCCTGTAAAGACCCTCCCACTCTGGACTCAGGAGAGACTATTGCCCCGCAGCACCCCCCACCCACCCAGTTCCAGGTTGAGTAACAACCATAAGTCACTCCTGCCCCTTGTTTATCTTTTCCCACGTCATTCACTCCAGCAGCACCCGCCGAGCCCTCCTCAATCACCATCAGCTGCAGATCCAGAAGTGGAAAGCAAAACACAGGGCTCAGAGAGGACCTCACCTGGCGAGGAGGCAGGGGCTGGCTCCACTCAACAGCAAGCAAAAAATAACAGGGAATTCAGATGGAACTGGGAGATCCAGGGACTAGCCCCGAGGGGCTGGAAAAGATAATTCAAGGACAGACTGTGTCTCAGGGGACACTCGGTGACCAGACACGCCCAATCCTCTTTCTGCCCATCAGGACAGGCTCGAAGGGACACTGCCTGAGTAGATCCACCCAGTCCTCTTTCTGCCCATTCGGACTGGCTCTGTCTTGGGGGGCACTGAGTAACAAGACCCACCCAGCCATCCTTCTACCCATCAGGAAAGGCTCTGTCAAGGGTGACACTGAGTGACAAGACCCACCCAGTTATCTTTCTATTCATCAGGAAAGGCTCTGTCTCAGGGAGACATTGGGTAAACCGACCCATCCAGTCCTCTTTCTACCCATCAGGTGCCATTGTAAGTGCTTGGCAGTGATCATGACCAGACTCTCTTCCAACAGGACCCTGAAGTGAATAGTGTTAGGAGGCGAATGTGTTACACATGGAGCAGAGTCACTCTGAGGGTCACAGAGGGCAGCTGCAGAGAGGGTCAGAGCAGGTGCACGGAGGAGGAGCTGGTGACCATAAAGTGCACAAAGTTATCAGCCTGGGCTCTGTCAGAGATAAGAGGCCATTACGACCAAATCAGAGGGAGCAGGTGGGAGAGCAGAGATGGACTAGTACAATTGGGACATGTAGGAGAACCACAGCCTGAGAAGGCAAGTTATTTTGTCCCCTGAGTTTACAAGGCTAGAAAACAAGCATTAAAATGCCCTGATCTCAGACATGGGACAACAGGTCTGGAGGTTGAGGCTCATGCTGTCCTCCTTCGTGCCCACCAGAGCAACCACCTAACCTGATGTCCAGCTGCCGAGGGCATTCTTAGGTCAAAGAGACAGGACAAAAGTGTCCCTGAGTGGAGCGAGCAATGAGGAGAGCCCTGCTGAGTGGGCCACAAGAAAAGGGGCCGTGGAACACTAAGCCTTCGAGGAAGGTGCATAGAGCGACGGGTGAAAAAATCCCGATGCTTAAGGCGTGGCAGGGAAGCCGGCAGAGGGCGACCGTCCTGGTCCAGCTCCCTCGGGGCTGCCCACCCGCAATCCTAACCCAATCCATACACCAACCAGAACCAAACCAGAACCCCATCACAAATCCTAACTTCTAAGCCCTGAACCCTAACCCCAGCATTAACGCTATCCTGTAATAGCTCTGCATTACAACTTCTGACATGGATTGAGTTTTATCTGTTTACGCACAGTTAGGAGCATCTGCATTTTCCCTCCACGCCTGCAGGAAGACTTTCCATGGCTTCCTGGCATTTGAGGAAGGGGTGGAGCAGGTTTTGCCCACCGACCATTCCTTAGGCTGCTGTTAGGAATTCACAAACACCACACCTATTAATCCTCAAGCGATATGTATTGCCCCCTTTTGAAGTGAAGCAGTGTTCTTTTCCCCATTCAGGCTCACAGCCCAATGTTCTTCATTAAATCTCTTTTCATGCAACACTAAATTATATGGAAAACGAAGCTTTGGCCAAATAGCCCTGGGTTAAAAAGCTTTCCCTTCACTTACCTGCTATGTGACCTTGAAATAATCAGGGAATAATACCGGACCTAAGTCATTAACATGGAAAAGGTCAATAATTATGCCAAAGAGGTATGCTAATGATAAACACTGTCTATAGAATCTCTGACTTAGAATATGTGGTCAATGAAATGCAATTGCTATAGTTTGTTACAAGTAATAACATTACCTTAAGATAAAAATGTGGTTATGATATTCCTGAAGTGTCACCTCTACTGATGATTCTTACTGTCAATATTTTTTTTTTTTTTGAGATGGAGTTTCGCTCTTGTTACCCAGGCTGGAGTGCAATGGCGCGATCTCGGCTCACCACAACCTCCGCCTCCTGGGTTCAGGCAATTCTCCTGCCTCAGCCTCCTGAGTAGCTGGGATTACAGGCACGCGCCACCG